TCAAAAAAATAAAAATAAAAATAAAATATTTTAATCTAATATCAATCACTTATATCTTTTCCTCCTCCCCAATTCATATTTTATGTGTTCTAAGGAGATAACCCCTTTGGATCGAATTAATTTTAATCTGTTTTATTTCTATTTGTTTATTTGTACATGTCATTCTCTTGCAATTAGATTAAAACATTTTCAATTTAAAAATTAAGGTTGGACAAAACTTTAGAACTGAATTGGACTGAACGACACGTGAATTGAACTAAACCAAGTCAAGGGATTTTTCTTAAGTTAAATACCCGAGTGAGTATCTGAATCCAGAACTGTTTCAATTCTTGATTCTAGACCAAGAATCGAAAAATCGAATAAGAGTTGAATCTTCCTAATTTTTAAAATTTCTTATTTTAAATAAGTAAAATTATTTTATTTTTTTAAATAAATTTTTTAACTAATTAATTTAGTCCAAACTCAAATTTTAAATAAATCAAATTATTTTTTTTTTTTCTATATAAATTTTAACCAATTGTTTTAGTCCAAACTCAAAATATGATTTTACTATCTCTAATTTCTAGCCAAATCCGACTTAATCAAATTGACTTAAATTTTACCAAAATCTTTTATTCTACCGTAGTGTAGTTTCTGCCGTTTTATTGTTGTTAACTTGCAATTTCTGCCGTTTTATTATTGTTAACTCGCAATCTTTCTATTCTTGTGATTTTAACGGTCAAATATATGAATAACTCAACAAAGAGATGTGCAAAAGATATCACAAAATTGAACTACGTAATTTTGTAAGAGTTAAAATTGAACATGTCATAGTCGAATTAATGAAGCATTGTAATATAAAAAAATTTAATTATTGTGCGAAACTCGAGAACCAAATATAACCAAATGGAACCGAACCCAAACGATTCCATAATTAAATTTGGACCAACGGTTCCATTTACTAAATACTCAAACTATGCCTAGCCCTAGATTCTTCCGAATTCAAAAAATGGATTTTCAAGCTTCAGTCTGGTTCTATTTATGCTTCCAAAAAAATTTGTGAAAGTGTAAATTTCTTGCTTTAATCTCATGTTTTATTCTAATAACATATAGTATAGCTTATTTAGTTTAAAATATTATTTCTAAGCCCCAAATGAATGAAATAGAATAATGTAATTAAGCTCAAAACATGACATCATATTTGGTGTGCTCAACTATCCTTTCAACAATTAATTAAAATCTCTCATTTTTTGTATTTTAAATAAATCAAATTATTTTTTTTTTTTCTATATAAATTTTAACCAATTGTTTTAGTCCAAACTCAAAATATGATTTTACTATCTCTAATTTCTAGCCAAATCCGACTAAATCAAATTGACTTAAATTTTACTAAAATCTTTTATCTTACCGTAGTGTAGTTTCTGCCATTTTATTGTTGTTAACTTGCAATTTCTGTCGTTTTATTATTGTTAACTCACAATCTTTCTATTATTGTGATTTTAACGGTCAAATATATGAATAACTCAACAAAGAGATGTACAAAAGATATCACGAGATTGAACTACGTAATTTTGTAAGAGTTAAAATTGAACACGTCATAGTCGAATTAATGTAGCATTGTAATATAAAAAAAAATTTAATTATTGTGCGAAGCTCGAGAACCAAGTAGAACCGAATGGAACCGAACCCAAACGATTCCATAATTAAATTTGGACCAACGGTACCATTTACTAAATACCCGAACCATGCCTAGCCCTAGATTCTTCTGAATTCAAAAAATGGATTTTCAAGCTTCAGTCTGGTTCTATTTATGCTTCCAAAAAAATTTGTGAAAGTGTAAATTTCTTGCTTTAATCTCATGTTTTATTCTAATAACATATTAATTCATATAGTATAGCTTAATTAGTTTAAAATATTATTTCTAAGCCCCAAATGAATGAAATAGAATAATGTAATTAAGCTCAAAACATGACATCATATTTGGTGTGCTCAACTATCCTTTCAACAATTAATTAAAATCTCTCATTTTTTGTTTATACTCTGAAGACTCTCCAAATGTAACCAAACGAGCAAATTGAGTATCAATACATTTACTAAACGACATAGAAGAATCTTGTGCCGACCACCATCTTGTGATTCCAATTCAATGACAACCGGCTGATGAAAACAATGTAGCCACCCACTATATATATTTGAAGTTAGGCTGCAAGTTAGTATCGATATCACCAAATAGTGTGTGAAAAAAAGAAAGAAAATGGAATTCTCTTGTAAGGATTTTAAGGTAGGAAAGTGTGAAGGTGAAAAGCTTGTGGATGGTGAAACCATGCCGCTAGTACTACAACCTCCGGCAGCCGAGAAAAATGACACGGACTCGTTAGTCGCGGCGTTGAAGGAGAACAAGGAGTGGTTTGAGGAGATGATAATAAAAAACAGTGCTGTCCTCCTTCGGGGTTTTGATGTGAAGAATGCAG